TTTTTTTTTTTTAATTGCAAAAAGGTGGGAATTTAAAAAGATACTAAAAGGTGGAAATTGATCAATGAATTTTGTCAGTTTATTCCCTATTGATTGCAAGGCTGAGTATTTCCTGTCCTGCTTCCAGACTCTTCCTGAAGGTTGGCTTCTCCACAGCTTCAAACAATCCTAGGGTGTGACTTATGGGAGCAATGGCAAAGGGATTTTGCATACAGTTGGCAACCAGCAGCCAACCACTGCAGGGACAGACAGGTGAATATGTCACTTTGGAGGCGGGGGAGGGGGAAGCGGAAAATGGCAAGAGCGTGGCCCCATTCTTTAAATTTTTTTTTTTTCAGAGAAGATAATGTGAGCCCATGGTCTCAAATCCTTTTTGCCTTAATTAGGTACAAAGGAACAAATTTCATCTAATTTTATTTTTTTTCTCTTATTTAAAAATCAACAGTTATTATGAAATATTTTACATTTGTAGATAATTGTAGAGGTTAATGTTGTGAACACTTACATGTCTATCAATCACATTAAATCATAAGATTTTTGCCATCTTCACTGGAGATATTAAAAAAAATTAGTTAGAGTTGAGGGTACAGTATCCACCTCCCTAACTCTATTCCCCTGCCCCTGCTCCAGAAATAACTACCATCATGAATTTAATGTCTTTCATGTTGATGGTTTTTAAAATACTTTCTGTACAAATCTAAACCTCCATAAACGTTGAACAAATACTTGTGGATTTTGAAACTATGTATTATTATACTGTGTTTCCTTCTGCAACTCATTGTTTTCTTTCAACATTCTTTCTGAAGACTATGTTAATTATATGTGGCCCCAGTGCATTCAGTTTAATAGCTGCAGTTTTCCATTGTTGAATATGCTGCCATCTATCTAGTCCCCTGTAATGGGCCATTAAATTTGTTTCTGAACTTTTGCTCTTGCACATAGTAGTATGAGGAACATTCTCATGTGCAAGCATGCAAGCTAAGTTTCCTAGGTATTACCAAGTTGCTCTATAATGCATGAGTACCAAACTCCTCTCTCCTCAGCAGTGAATGAGAAGTCCTAGTGCTATACTACTTCATCAACACCTGGTATTGTTTGACTTTAAAATATTTGCTACTATAATGGGCATAAAATTGTATCTCATTGATATTTTAATTTGCCTTTTCCTTGTAACTTTAGGGGTTTAACACCTTTCGTTAGTTTGTTGGCTATCCAGATTTTCCCTTCTATGAATTGCTGCTCATATTCTTCACCCATTTTTAAAACTAGGCTTTCAATCTTTGTTTCCCATCAATTTGTTGGAATGCTCTGTGAATCCTGGGTACAAATTCTTTCCTGGTTGTGTGTCTTCTCCCAAACTGTGGCTTCATTTTTGTTGTTTCCAGAAGCTTTTACTTATTATATAACCAAATATAACAACATGGATTTTACTTTGTGTCCTGTTCATGAAATTCTTTTCTGCTTTAAGTTCCTACTGATTTTTTTTGTATTTTATTCTAAAAATTTCTACCTGTTATTGATTTTCATGTCCAGTGTGAGCTAGAGATCTAATTTTATTTTATTCCAAATGGATGCAAAATGGTCACCTACAGGTTTATCCATTCTTCTCTTTAATGCCACTTTTATCCTAAACCCAGTATCACTCTGCTAGAATGTAAGATCTATGATGGCAAAGATCTTGGTCATTTTTGTTCACTAATGTATCCTAAACATCTGGGACAGTGCCTGGCACATAGTAGCTATTTAAATTTATTGGTAAATAAATGAATATTCAAATGGCATTTCTGGTGTAGGACATCAGCAAGCATGATTTCTCAACAAAGGGACTTTAATTAGGGGATTTAAGGGTGTTTTAGTGTTTTCCTCTCTTCTTTCTGAGAGGCAGGCCAGCCCATGTCTCTGAAGGGTCTCAGATACTTTATAATACCTCATTTGAAAACAATAACCTCATGAATCTTTTGTAGTCAAAAGAAAAAATTGTTCCACTTTAGTAATAGATACCAGAGGAACTATTACATACACCATTAAATATAGGTATTATGTGATAACATTCAAGTGTGAATGGGAGGGGAGAAAGAAAGGATGAAATTTGATTGATTATGTCAGGTGACTTTTACTCCCACCTCCTGTTTCATTTTTTAAGGAATGTAATTGATCATAATACTACAGGGGTTGTCTTGGAAGGGAGTGATTGGCAGGTGGGGAGGGAAGTGTAGGGTGATGAGTGTGCTTCATGGCAGCAGTCACAATCCTATAGGTCACAGACATTGTCCTTTGGGATTTCATTCAGGTCTAGAACTGAAGGTTTTCTTGAGCTACACTCTACTGCTTATGATTTGATAAGGGCTTCTTTGACTGGTGTAAAATCATAGGGAGGAACAGAAAGCAATGATGGGTTCAGATAATGCCATTCATCGAGGAGAGTCAAAAAGAAAGTTTTGGCATAAATAATTTAAACAGTAACTTCGGCTGGAAGGAGTTGCTTTCATTGAACCTCTCTACCCTGTGAGATTACTGCTGTGATGTCTGAGAAATCAGCATCTCATGAGGAGTCTAATGCCTGCAGCATCATAATCTCAGTGGCATTTTGGGTTGGCCAATAGAACCCTCCATTTCCCTGAGTTCACATAGACGTACATCCTCCATGTACACTGTGGCATAAAAGGAGGCACCTTATTACAAGGTGACCACACATGGTGATGCACCTGTTGGAGGGGCCACCTAGTAGGAAGAGGACAGATTGGGATGGATTATCCTGTTCCCAGGCAATCTGATCATGTTATAGTGTTAAAGTGTTCACAAGTTTTAAGTCAACAATGAGCGATTTATCTATCTGTTGTAACAAACGACATCATTTGATCCCCTTATCAATTTTCTGAGGCCAGAACCTTCACTTATCACATGACATGAGAAGTGCAAGTTCCTCTGTGCTTGAGACTTCTTTAAATCTTCATACCATTCCATGGTCATCTGGAGGAAGAGTCAGGTTTCTTGCCTCTCTCCATCCCTATCTACTCAGATGCTTCTTTCTTAGTACCCTTATTATGAATTATGTAAAGGTTTGTGTTTTATCTCCTCTGTTAGTAAATGGAGAGGTCTTTGAGAATAAGGAGTTTGTGTTATTCACTCTTGTAGCTGTGGGCCTAGGACAATGTCTGGAGCTTCAAGTGAGCAGAGAGTGTGGGGTGAAATGAAATAGAATAGAAGCTTGCCTCGGTCTACTGAATCAGCTGGGCTACACCAACTTTCTCATGATCCAGACTAGTGTTCTATGATTCATCAACTTCCTTTCACTTCAATTTGTATGTGTAGGGTTTTTTTTTAATGTTTTTTTAAAATTGGGATATAGTTGATTTACAATGTTATTTTAGTTTCAGGTGTACAGCAAAGTGATTCAGTTTTATATATATATATATATATATATATATATATATATAGTCTTTTTCAGATTCTTTTCCATTGTAGGTTATTACAAGAAAATGAAGTTAGTTCCCTGTGCTATACAGTAAGTCCTTGTTCTTTATCTATTTTATATATAGTAGTATGTTTCTGTTAATCCCAAATTCCTAATTTATCACTCCCCCCCAACTTTTCCCCTTTGGTAACCATAAGTTTGTTTTCTGTATCTGTGGGTTTATTTCTGTTTTGTAAATAATTTCATTTGTATCCTTTTTTCAGACTCCACATATAAGTGATATCATATGATATTTGTCTTTGTCTGGTTTACCTCACTTTGTGTGTGTAATTTTTCATTTTTGTTTATCTGCTTCAGAATTTTGAATTTTTATAGAAATTGGTAGATTTAGGTATGTATGTCAGTTTTAAAGAGTGACAGTTTATTGGGCTTCCCTGGTGGCGCAGTGGTTGAGAGTCCGCCTGCCGATTCAGGGGACGTGGGTTCGTGCCCCAGTCCGGGAGGATCCCACATGCTGCGGAGCGGCTGGGCCCATGAGCCATGGCTGCTGAGTCTGCGCGTCCAGAGCCTGTGCTCCGCAACGGGAGAGGCCACAACAGTGAGAGGCCTGCATACCGCAAAAAAAAGAAAAAAAGAGTGACAATTTATTTAAGGCTCTTTCTAGCTCTGGCCTGGTCTGAGTCATTGGCTAAGAGTAACAGGACAATTTATAACATTAAAACAAATGTTAAATTACTAGTGATAATATCAGATGACATGGTGAAAACTGTAAATTTACCAATATATCAGAACTTGTGACCAGAGATAAAACCCACCTTAACAACTTGAATTTTTATGTCCATCTCTCTTAGTGCATTTTTCTTTGATCAGTTTTCTAAAAGCAAAATGTCCAGGGATGAACTGTGTTGTGAAGCTGGTCATCAGAATTGGTAGAATTTGAGACCCTGACTCAGCAACATTTTACTGAGTCATTCACTGGGATGAGCACGAATAGTTTGGCTGAGTAATAATTTTTCTGACAGGCTGCTGGATATTAGACATATATTTGTGTATAGGATGCTGTAAAGGAAACAGTAAATATGAAGACATCTAATTCTTTTTTTCCTTATGTCATATTTTTGTTGATGGATAATATTTCTGGGAGAAAAGGAGGTTTCTAGATAAGTAGTACCATTCTTTCAAACTGAAAAAATATGAAATGTGTTAAGAGTTCCTAGGGACTTAACTGAATAATCAGTTCTAGGAGCTTTGTCTGTCTCTAAGATCCAAATTTGCTTCCTTGCAAGAGTGTATTAGTCCTTGGGGCCTACGGGAAGCATGTGTTGACAGCAGCTCTTAAATCAGTGTGCTGTTCTTTACTGCAGGCATTTTCACCTTGTAGAGACATCATAGTCATGCTGTTGTATACTTTTTCCCTTCATTGTAGATTACCTTTTCCAGGTGAATACAACTTGAAACCCTCAGATGATATAGCATCCCTGTGAGAAATTATGTAGCTAGTATAGAGACCTATTCCCAAACAATTACCAAATAAAGCAGCCTTCAGAGGCTGCCATTATACTACTGTTACACTCAGTCAGGTACTGCCATCCATATCATTTCCTAGGCAGGAAGCACATCATTTTAAGTGGCATACTGTCGCCCCTCATGTCAGATAGACTTTGGGTGTTGAGCCAAAAAGGTCTTATCTGCTATTTTAGCAGCAACTCATCTTTTCTATGCCAAACTGCTTTTAATGAGGGGACTGTGGTTAATATGCGCTTTCCCTCCTTTCTTTAGTATTTATAAAGCCAAGAACCCTGTAAAAGTTTGCTTTTGTGAGCACACATTGGGATACATATTTTGGTAAGTGTTGACACCTTTTTTTCTTCCAGAGGAATCAGCTGTCTCTTTTTTGCTTACTGTGCTACACTTTCATTTTTACTATTCTGGTCACTCTTTCAAATGCTTCAGGGAAGTAAGTTAATGGTTCCGTGTGAATGGGAAGAGGAAGAAATATACAGAAATGTTTTCTGGGTTGTATTATTTATACATTTGTTGGTGGTATTTATTATCTTCCTAATATATGAAGAGTTTCAATATTTGAACTGTCATTCTGATATTTCATTCTAAGCACCAAGCTTAAATCAGAGTTTTGTGAAGAAGGAACACTTGAAAAAAACTCTCCAAAATAGAATGTTAAGGAGCCTAGCACTAATTCACTGACATGTATATTTCTGTATAAATCATAAAGTAAAAATCATAAAAGCTTAGCTCATTTGATCAAAATTATATTTGTTTAATAGCAATTTCTTTTCTTTCAACATTCCCAGACAATTTACCCAATTAGTTACTTAAAAGACATAAATATTAATTTGGTCCCAAAGACTTGAGTCCTCACTAAGTGAACGATTTTGTTCATCTCTTTGGTAATTCAGAGTTATAATTCATTAATGTAGTAATCTGAGATGCTGCTTAGTACCTGTGAAACTTTCCCAGTATGGCAGACACTGCTGGTGCCCTCGTTTTGAAGAAAGTATGCACATTGTGGAAAGACACAATCATACAAAAGGAAAACAATAGGAAGAAGCAGGCCTTCTGAGCAACCTCGTGTACAGGGTCAATGTGTTATGTGCCTCAAATGTCCTAAGCAAAGTGTTATTGTCCCCATTTTACAGATGAGGAAATTGAGGCTCAACAAAGGTAAATCATTGGCTGAAGAATAGGAAGATGAAAAGAAAAGAATTATGTTTTTCTGATGCCATCATGCTTCCAGAACAAATTCTGTAAGTGGAGGGGGAGAACTGCTGTTCAAGAAACACACTATTTTGCATTTAGAAATCATTTCTGGTGATGTGATGAATGTCACTCCTTACTCCTCTGGATTTAAGCTGAGGGTTCCGTAGGAAAGGAGGGAGGAAGAAGTTTTCACAAATATTTTCTAGGCTGTATTATTTATAAATCTGTTTATTGGCTTCATTATCTTCCCCATGTGTGGAGAGCTTCAATATCTCAGTTGTTAGTTTAAATTTTCTAGGGAAAAAGACACTTGAAACGATCCTCAATCTTAAACTAGGACTCTAGCCTTAAATAATTTAATATTCTCCTATAAAACAGAATTCATCCAAAGCATGTCCTTTCAGCCTTTGTGTTTGATGATATGAGTTTCTTCAGTTTGTTAATTAATATGACACGCATTTTTGGTATGATTCCTCTGTCTTTCCAGCCTGATTATGCACTGCATCTTATTAAAATGAATCAGCATTTCTCTGAGCTGACATTAGGTCTGAAGGGTCCCAAGTAGAATTGGGCCTGGGTGATTAAATAGTACGTTAGATGCTATCTGGTCTCTTTATGCTTTTAATGCGTGTATTGACTTATCATCTGTACTGTCAATGACCTTCAGGAAAAGAATGTAAAATGCACCAAGAAATTATGGTTATTTGAGAAATAGTAAGTGAAGTAGTGACAGATGGATAATGAATAAATGGTAAATGCCAAGGGATCACTTTTGTTTTTTAAAAGAAGACTTTGAAGCATCCTTATTTTGTTGTAAACCAGAAAACTGTGACTGTGTCTTTTGTCTCCTAGGTATCTGTTAATCTTAACATGTTTGCAGTTACATCACATTTATTTTTAATAGGAACACTAAATAAAGCTGATTAGTTTTAGCTGGAAGTGAAGAAGAGCTTTTAAAATTTATAACTTTCAGATGTCAGATTCCCAAATCTCCTTCACATCCATTTACTTTTTCTAAATATGCTCATCTTCCTCCCCCTCCTCCAATCCAAATTTTAGAATCCAAATAGTTTTGAAATCTGTAGATAAGGAAATTAGGCTCTAAATCTGAATGCAAGCATGAGAACAGTGAAATTTTAAATGCAACTGATCTCTGAATTCAGTGCAGTGTCAGCAGGTAATATTATAGTAAGACTCTAACATATTGAATCTCTCTGCATTCAGAGATTTAAACTCATGTCAGGACCTACTCTATTCATTTCAGGCTGTACACAAACTTAAGTCAACTTTGAATATGTTGTAATGTAATCCAATATAGGTAGAAGCTGCAGGAAATTTACAAAGAGAAAGGTAATGGTAAACCTCCATGGACTTGGTTCTTGGCAGGTCATTTGGTAATTTTGTCTTCTCCAGATCTTCACAGTCATGCCTATTGGCGTCAACTTACCCACTCCCCGTGGGAATTCCAGGATCCCAAGGAACATGTCAAATGATCTCCAGAGTCAGGAATTAGAAGAAGAAAGATTAAATCTTTGTATAAGACACCTTACTAAAAATCTGTCATTGGTTATTGTTGTCTCTTTAATCTGACTCAGTATTTTTCGGAACATTTTATAAGTAATAGAGATTGTTTGACAACCTATTTGATTGAACGTTGTGTCAGAAGCATTTCTCTTAAAGCTTGGCATTAAGTTGGTATCCTATGATAGTGTATTCGTTTTAGCATAAGTATAATAATATTTGTGCATAGAAACTTCTGTGGGAAGGTAACCTTCAGAATGTCTAAGTATGGCTTGTTAACTGTTTTTTGTAACTTTGGTTCACCTGTGTATTCATTCTAGTTTCTTGAATGTATATAAAAGGAAATCCCATAGTAATAGATTTGTATGCCATATACAAATACAATGAGTAAGACCCACATGGCCTCATATTTTTGAGGTAGTCAGATACAACTCTGGATAGAATACTATTGAGCTGTATTATTGGAAAGGCATCAGAAACAGAAGTATCAGCTCATCCTTAAAGGAGTTTTCAATCTGGTGGATGAGGTAGAATATAAGTAGATGTGAGTTACTGGAACTTTATGGTTCACCCTGCAAACAAATGGAGACCCAGTGTGCCAGGCTAAGGAGGCTCACAGTAAAGTGGTATTCAATAGCATTCCATTGAGGAAGGCTTCCTAGAGGTGGTAAACCTTTTTGAAAATTTTTTTAAAAAGCTTAAAAAGCTAATACATGATTGCAAGTGCTCTGAAAGTTCAGATAATTCAGAATTACATACAGTATTGGATATAAATTTTCCTTCATAGCCTTCCTCCAACACACAATTCCACTAACTTATCTAAAGATAACTTCTGTTAGCATTTACCATGTAATGCCCTATTTATCTCTTCAGATATCTCTTTATCTATCAACTATGTTTGTATGATATACCATATACATTATTTTGAATCTTGCTTTTAACTTGTCAGTATGTATTAGAGATCTTCTCATGTTAGCATATACATATGTGTGTCTTATCCTTTAGAAAATTTTTACATAGCATGGATGTATCATAATTTAAACTTTCATTTACTGATACATTTTTTTCTGTCACAAACAGAACTGCAATGAAAATCCTTATAGATAATTCATTCATTTATTTACCCAATATTTATTATGATTACTACATGTCAGATATTGCCTTAGGTGTGGCAAAAATGAACACAAAATAAACAATCATAAAAATATATAGCTCCTGCCAGATTTGGAACCAGGATGAGGTGAGTGAGCCACTTACTTTAGGCACAAAATTTAAGACAATACCAAAAAGCTCAGTAATCAGGATAAATAATATTTTAATATAATTTTTTAAAAATAAAAATTAATTTAAAAATTCCATGATGAATAAAATATGAATTTTTTTTTTTTTTTTTTTTTGCGGTACGCGGGCCTCTCGCTGTTGTGGCCTCTCCCGTTGCGGAGCACAGGCTCCGGATACGCAGGCTCAGTGGCCATGGCTCACGGGCCCAGCCGCTCCGCGGCATGTGGCATCTTCCCGGACCGGGGCACGAACCCGTGTCCCCTGCATCGGCAGGCGGACTGTCAACCACTGCGCCACCAGGGAAGCCCAAAATATGAACATTTTAAGCAAAAGCAGAAATAACTAAGACTGTGCTTAGCTTACAGTCTAGTTATGGAGATAGTAATAAACACAAAATTATTATTATTACTGTTATTTACAAATTGTGATAAAAAACAATAGAGTAACAAGAGAGGATTTTGTGCTAATTTATATTTAGGTTTCAGAGACTGTCACAGATTGGGTTGCTTTAGAAGCCATTTCAAAGATTAGCATTTAGGGGATTTATTAAGGCATGTTCTTGGGATGAACACCCGAGAAGGAAGGAAAAGAAGCTGGGTTTGGCAGGGTGAGAGGTTGCAATGCTGTCTCAGTGGAAACCTCAGGTTATCCTTTGGGGAATTCTGAAGATGGGATGACTCCTCAAAGCTCCACTAAGTTCGGTTGCGGGGTCTGGGCTTTTAAGTCCCCAAGTCAACAAGTCACTTGATGTGGACTGCTCTGGGATGGGGGTGTGTTCTTGGACCAGGTGGCTCTCTTCATTTAAGGCAGTTTCCAAGGGGGTTGACAGTGGAGTGCTGGCTGCTGGCGGCACTCCCAATGCTGGAGTAATAAGTCCTTCATTCTTGAAGGGGGGCCTGAGAGACACATCACAGAGATGACAGGGTCCATCACAGACATTTCCCAGAGGAAATGAGGCCTGCTGGAGAAATCATAATGTGAACTTCATTCAACAAGTATTTTATGAAGCTCCTATGATATGATGGGCACTGTCTGAAGTTCTGGGAAATACAGCAGAGAATGAAGAAAAGTTTTTTAATTGAAAGCTTATGTGGTGCCATGCCATGTGTTAAGCCCTTCACATGAATTATTCGATCCTTTCTTTCCAATGAACTTGTAAACTAGGTCCTATTATTATTTCTATTTTGTAGATGAGAAAATCGAGGTTCAGAGATTTTGCATCTTGCTCAGAGTCCTACAGCTAACAAGAGTTGGAAGTAGGATTTGAACCTAAAATTTTCATACTGCAGGTCCTTGGGTATAATTGACCTCAATTTAATAATTCCTCCTTATTGTGTGCATGTTAAACTATCAATATTTCTGTATTATTGATTCCTGGAAGTATAATAGTTGGGTCAAGTGCATACACATTTTAAAACGTTTGTAGACACTACCAAACTAATCTTTTTTTAAATGTATTTTTAAAATTTTATTTTATGGTTTTTTTTTTTTTTTTGGCTGAGTTTGGTCTTAGTTGCGGTACGTGGGATCTTTTTTTTTTTTTTTTTAAAACATCTTTATTGGGGTATAATTGCTTTACAATGGTGTGTTAGTTTCTGCTTTATAACAAAGTGAATCAGTTATACATATACATATGTTCCCATATCTCTTCCCTCTTGCGTCTCCCTCCCTCCCACCCTCCCTATCCCACCCCTCCAGGCTGTCACAAAGCACCGAGCCAATATCCCAGTGCCATGCGGCTGCTTCCCACTAGCTATCTACCTTACTACGTTTATTAGTGTGTATATGTCCATGACTCTCTCTCGCCCCGTCACAGCTCACCCCTCCCCCTCCCCATAACCTCAAGTCCGTTCTCTAGGAGGTCTGCGTCTTTATTCCTGCCTTACCCCTAGGTTCTTCATGACATTTTTTTTTCTTAAATTCCATATATATGTGTTAGCATACGGTATTTGTCTTTTTCTTTCTGACTTACTTCACTGTGTATGACAGACTCTAGGTCTATCCACCTCATTACAAATAGCTCAATTTCGTTTCTTTTTATGGCTGAGTAATATTCCATTGTATATATGTGCCACATCTTCTTTATCCATTCATCCGATGATGGGCACTTAGGTTGTTTCCATCTCCGGGCTATTGTAAATAGAGCTGCAATGAACATTTTGGTACCTGACTCTTTTTGAATTTCGGTTTTCTCAGGGTATATGCCCAGTAGTGGGATTGCTGGGTCATATGGTAGTTCTATTTG